AAAAAAAAAAAAAAAACTCTAGTACTAAAAACGACGAAGTGCACATCTAAAAACGACAATGTGTACATTTGCAACAACCCACCCAAGTGCAAATATTCTCGGGGTCAAAGCGCTCTGTCAGAAGAGCACCATAGTGCTCTCTGACAGATCGTCTAAACATTGATCTTCCAATCCCTGAACGTGTGCAAATGGGAAGGGCGTTTCAGATGGGAACAACACGGTTAAAATAAGACTGGCAAAACGTTTCGGTTCTACAGAAGTTGGCACTATGGATGATAAAATGATCTCCCTCCCCTCCTTCTTTCTCTAAAAAAGAAATACTTCATATGATCAAGGTCAGCCCTGCCAATAAAACAACTATGCAACTGTACTTTGAATAAAACTGCAGTATTATCCATTTTTTACGATACATTTCAATTTGAACATTGTTATTTAATTTACAGAAGCATACAGAAATTAAATAAAAATCTAACAATATCATGACCACTGACAGACTTAAAAATGGTGAGTGGTATTTTGAAAACACCAATTTGGCATATTAGGGACCATTCCCAAAGATATTTGGATCGTTCTATCTCCACGAGGAGTCTAACTAAATTGCTGTCTGCTATCGGCGAGGCCCAGCGTGCAAGAAAGTTAATTACCCCCCTAGCTGATTCGGGAGGTATGACAGACATTTGAGCCTCTTAAGCTGATAGCAATTAGTGTGAACCCCCAGGAAGTTAGGTTGATCCAGATGGATCAATCTTGGCATGGGAACCCAGTCTTAAACAAAGAAAGAAAGAAAAAAAAGAGCCCAAAAATAGGTCCATGTGTAGTACATGTATATTATATGATATTTCATTCATATATTTAAGTTTGAGAATAATGGACTTTTTCCTTTTCTTATGAAATTATTTTGAAATTAGAATAGGTTTTTTTGTCAATTTAGTGTTAAATTACATTGATTAATAGCATAATCATCATCAATACTTCAACATTTCTACTTTTTCTGCATGTTAATATCCAGAAAACATCACAAACAGGGCTCTAGTCCATTGTGGAGTTCAAATCCACCCATAAAAATTATCAGTGGGTGAAAAATGGAAAAGCATAATATTTCACTCATAAAATTCTGTGGCAATATCAATATCCACCATGGGAAGGGGTATCCCATACTAATGACAAAATCCACAAACAGTGTACTGCTATCATCATGATTTCCTAGCAGCTGCAGTGTTTGAAAGAAACTTCTTTCCACTTTGTCTTATGGTTTGGTCTGGGTCAGTGATGGCAAACTGGGTTTCTGATCGAATTCTTCATGTATATTTAACAGGCTCACCCAGAACACACACACACACACACACACACACACACACATTACATCGGCCATAGAAGCACAAGAAGCTCCAATATTGGTCTGATTTGTGTAGAACAAGCCCTCCCTTAAAAATTAATTGTGAAAACTGTATAAGGAGTTGTTCTTCAAAAACTTGCTGTGTCTGATGTGTATCCAGTGACTTTGTCAGGATTGCTTTTTTGGTTTTTACACATCCTGTGGAAGCGATTGACAAGAAAGACATATATATATATATATATATATATATATATATATATATATATATATATATATATATATATATTTTCCTTGATACTGAGCTGTAGCACCAAGAGATCCCATGAGCACTGCTTGAAAGAACACTTCATAAGATTGCAAATGGAGGTGAACTGCATGTGTATCAAGGCATTCTTCCACAAAGGATGGGTCTGAAGACACTGACGACTTCAAAAATTGTATTTCATAGTTTGCTTTTTCTGGAATGTCTACCAAAAAGCAGCTGTACATTTTCTTTTCTAGGCCAGAGGCTAATATTTCATGGATACTAGAGCAAAAGTTATAAAATTTGCCCCTTATGACCCCTCTACCAGGTTGGCAGATATAATAGGCCCAATTTCCACATTTTCCAACCTGTAACTTCTGGCCAGATGGCACTGTACCCACTCTGTAGGGGGCTACTACAGAAGATTCCTCAGTTACCTTTAACATAAACTGCCATTGAAGTAACAAGCTATTCAGCAGGGGCTATTTTTTATCTGTCACAAAAGAGCAAGTGATAAAAATCGGGGAGTAATTAAAGGGATAACTCTTCGTATGAGATCTATATTTCACAATAAAAACATTGTGAATAACTCATAGAAATATAACATATTCTGTTTAACCACACAAATGGCAGTTATAGCTATTATTCTGGTGTCTGAGCTTGTCTTTAGATCACGTGACCTCCGTTGATGGCTATACTCTGTTAAAATCTTTTAAGAGATTTTAACAAAAAACAAAACTTTTTAGAAAAAAAACAGAGACTAAGTTTGAATGTAAAAATGGATTCATTAACCATTGGTAAGTATGGGAAAATTGTTGTTTACTCCAAGAAAATTCATTTTTTGTCTGAAACGAAGAGTTATTATCCCTTTAACTGTTTTGATTGTTGTCAGGGGGACTTTCCAAAGTATAATTAAATGGCAGTTCCTGAGTAGTAATATTCAATCAACCTAGAGATTTCAGCACAGGGTCACAGTTAAAAAAATGACCATATTTTGCTCGAGACATTATCTTTGTATGTCTAATGAAAAATGTGAAAAATCAATTTGTGGCCCTGGTAGAGGGTACCCCTGCCAGGAAATCACACTGAGAGAGGATGACCTCAGTACCACTGTCGTTGATGTATTCATGTTCCGTTGCTCCATAAAATGCAAGCTCAGTGTGAAAGTTGCCAAGCATAATGAGCACCTTGTCATTTAATGGTATTTGGAAGGACTGGATGGAGTATGCCTTTAATGTAGTGGTCATTTGCGACCACAGTATAATCCTGGCCAGTTTCTTTAGCAGCATTCATGGTCCTCATCATAGTTTCCCTCACCACATCATTGTTTGTTGGGGACTTCGGTATGTGGGTCCATATAGCATATCTTTTGCATTGGCAAAGGATCTTTGATGTAGTTGCACATGAATCCTACATGTAGAGACACACTGTTCTCACTCAGCTTCCAAAACCATAGGAAATCAAGTGGAGTAAGGAGAGATGACTAGTGGTTATGTTAAATAAATTATTAAATAAATAGTTATAATTATTAATATGTAAATAGAATAATTTGATAAATGATTAAATAATTCATATTTACCTTTCAAGAGTATACATCCAAAAGCTGTTGACTCTTCTTTTATGTTATAACGCTTGCTTAAAAGTCAGTATTATTTCATACACAAGTCACCTGGGTGTGGTTTGGGTGTGTCTGCCAG